ACAAAAAATGCATTCTCGCATGAAAGTAAGTACCTTTAGGCTACAGGCCGCTATAATAAATCTGCCGACTTTGCTGCTGAATGTGTTTGCATAAATTGAACTTTTTTTAGCGATTAGGTCAGCATCCAAATTAGGGCAAAAATTAAAAAGTGAGAAAATTTCGAAAAAAATATTCCCAATAGATTAGAGCACTTTATTAGTCCATGCGATCAGCATTTAGAAATGATTTAATGGAAAGAGTGATCTATCTTCATCTGCTTTACGCAACTTTGTAGTAAACTCTGCACCGAAGAAATAGTCAAACATCAATCAACACTTTTCGGCTTCCGAAAAATTCATCGACGTAAATAAAAGCGGCCAAACGAATTCCTTGGCATAGCTTAATCTCCTGCTATCTCGCAAATGACGCAAGCCTGAAAATTTACTAGAAAAAATACCATGTACTCCTTCTTTGCCATTCAGTATATCCTTTGTGGTTGGTCATTCCACTCATTGGGTGTGCATCAATGGACACCCAGAATGGTGCATTTTAATTGCCGCGTTGTATCTTCCAACTTTAGTATGTATATGGACCTTCTACGATAATAGGCAGGCATCTTGTTTGTTTTCTAATGGCGGGCAGAGGTAGAATATGAGATAAACACCAGGGTAGTATGATATTAGCATTGTGAATTATGGGCGCTTCAATCGTTCCATGCAATCGCTTCATTGTAGCGGGAAGGGTTATCTCGCACTAACAGCTAACTTAAAAATCTCCCCAGTGCTGCGAGGGGAATTTTAGGAATGTGTATTAGTGAACAATTTGGCCACCTAATATTTTCCAATAAAACCCATATTTGATCTTCAAACGGGTAGAAAAATCGCATCTCAACTTCCAACAAATGACTTCCAAGGATCTTGTGTTGAAAGTCTCAAGGCGAAATGAAGCAAAGCACACAAGAAGTAGAATAGGAGCACGGGCAGAAAATTTCGTATTTTGAAGGGCAAATTAGGCGTGAAACATCCAGCAACGCCTACTCTTCCTCTCGAAATGTAACTTTCAGCCTCACGAGGAATAGCGTGATGTAACGTGGAATATTGTTGTTGAGTGCCGTTGTTGGCCTTTTAATAAATCGGTATAGACTGAATTCACCACTCTCAACCCTGCAATTTAGGTCTCCTCCAGTCATATTATTATAATTAGTACTAACTTTATAGGCAAACGGAGTAGTACAATTGTTTACATAATTATTAATTAAAAGCCTTCATCTTCGTCGCTCCATAACGCCCATACATTGCAAGGAATGGCCACAATCCCTCGACATTTATCGATTAGGTGTCCCAGCCTTTCCCAGATTGGGAGGAGAAATAGGATTAAGTTTGGGACAAGGATGTGAAAGGTTGGTACGTGACCGTAGATGATTCATCACGTTTTTTTGCCGTTTTTCGTACTGGTGTAAGGGCACAGTTAACAGCCCAGGTTACTCCGACCTAACAACCCAACCTTCTGCAGGCAGAAACATGCCGCAACTAAGCTACAGGAACGATGCACGTTAGATGGTGCTTTCATAACTTAGGCACCTCTGTAAGCCTGAAAGAGATTATTAAATGTGGGTTGAAAGCAAGGTATCTGGGCTTGTCCCCCCCCCCACACACACACAGGAGCTGATTATTTATGGCTATATTAATTCAATTTAGGAATTCTGACCTTCCCACGCGGTCAGAAGGATTTACGATCGGAAAGTTCGGATTTTCCACTCCTATAAACATCTCTGTTATTTTATGATTAGGTCCTATGATTTAACTTTGAAGCTAAGTGAAACCCGGCTGGTGTGGCATAATAAAAAAAGAAAGATGGGTGATAGTCAATTTTCAACACTCTCTGCATTTCCCTTTTTAGAAAACCATTAAGAAGTGTAGGCCCAGACGAGTTGATTTCTCCTATCCCTCAACCCTCCCCCCCCCCCAACCCAGTCACATGATTCCCTGTGTAGGGTTGCACTAAATCTCCCCTCCGGATCTGATATACCATTGGCATGGTTCGGAGTTTTTTTTCAAATACTGCAACAGTTTTCAGAGAGTATTTTAGAAACAACTGTGAAGTTTACTTGAAATTGCAAATTATTTTATAATTATCCCAATTTCACTATTGTGCATTGTAATAGTAAAATTCCCACTTACCACATATTTACTTTCAGTGAAGTCGGTTAAGTTAAAAGCGTCCCAAATACCATGTCATGACTGTTGAAAGATACGAATAAAATAAAGTGACATAATAAAATAATTCCTTTTATCATATGCTTCAAAGTCTTCAAATATATTGGGTATAATCTCATTAAAAGTCCTGGTTTTAAATCATAACTTTTCTCAGAACATAAATATGGCCAACTTCGTGTTTTGGGTGTTTGAATAAATCATGACGTTCTATATCCCTACTTCAATACTACTACACTCTAATTAATTTCTAATCAGTGGCCAGTTTTCATTCTGTAATTAAAATTATAAATGATCTATTGCACTGCTTTGGTTGAGAGTACTTAAATAAATGCCTAAAAAGGATCTCCTTTTTAAAAGAGGAACTTAACCATTGACTGGGAAGATTTAACCTGAAGTTTTTCTTCGTAAGGGATGAAAGGAATCTTAATTTTAGCCGATACAATTAGCACCATGAATAAAGGCTTCTGATTGGCTATGTGTTGGGAACGTCACATGCACACATCGATTGGTAGGCTACTGTGCAAATGGAAGGGGGCAGCCATAAGACCAATAAAACACGTTCCCAAAGTGTTGGATACCGTCTGTTCATTTTTGCACACAAATGACCTTTGGGTGTAGAGACAAAGGCATGCAATCCATCGGCAATACCCCTTGGTGCCACGCAATACCCAACTAAGAAAGACAGCACTGTATTTTATTTATAGTAAATTGTAAGGGTTAGTGATAAAAAAAATAGAAAACTAGAATATGCATCTCAGCAAAGTAGATCATTGTTAACTCTAAGCGGCAGAAAACAATGTATTAATTGGAAGCTCAGAGGCTCTGTCACATTGGAGATAATAGGTTGAATATTTAACAGCGCGCTCACAGTGAACAATTTTAGAGAGCCCCCAACGCCTCTTCTCAAAGAATTCATTTTCCTCAGACTGGGGAATTATTATTAACATGATCTATCGACACAATTTGTTCCTTTAGGTTTGAGGAAAATTTATAACAAATGGCAGGCGTTTTGATAGTTATCATTAGCCCTTTAGTTGACTTCAAGCTTCACAGAGGTGAGGAAAAACATCAAAGTGAGAAGAATTCGGGAGAGGGAATAGAAGAGTGATTCACAGGAGTAAAAGAGACACAAAGGCTCAGAAAGGGTAAGATGAGTACTGTGGTAGGGGTCGAATGTGACATACAGTGGGGGTGATGGTTGTTTGAAGTGAGAAGTCAACTGCCGGTTAATAGACTTTTTTGCCTTATGATTATACGTTGCCCAGGGTGCACCACGAGGAGGTAAGTCTATCCCCACACCCCGGTTTGATTAATAAAGCCCTTTATGAGTCATCGTGCTGGCTATTTAATTCTGGTTACTAGGGTAACTTCAAACAAAATACTCCTTTTTGAAGACTTCAAGGCTTTCAAGGTGGGCGCTGAATTACAACTTGGCGTACATGGATATGAGAGACTATATAGATGCAATGGTTGAGTTGAGGATCCCTGAGTGAACTATGATAAGGAGCTGCTTTTAAAACCGAATCATATTGAGAATTACTTGGAAAACTTTAGAAGTCTCAAGACAAAAGCGTCTGGTCTAACTCATGTTCTTTCCCAGTGTCAGTTTCAGGTGATTAGTTAGATGAATAAAGGACAAGGGGAAGCCAATCACACCCCAATTGTCGTCCCTTAAGGGGAATCTATCATGTGAATTGACTGTGATAGCCCGGATACCACTGAATCTTAGGAAATTTTGAGCTATTTTCGCCTGATAATCTTTGAAAGTTCAACTAACACTGCCTAATGGTGGGTGGTTGGGAAGCTTTGCTTTGTGACACTTAGCCGTACTCTCCAATTTATTCTTCAATCACTCAACCCATAACGCACACTGGTTGACAAGTGCAAATTGATAGAACCCCCTCCCTCCACCTCTTTCATTGAAATGAAGAGCTTTCGAGCACCAAGTTTTGACAAAAGGATAATGTCTGAGCACTACTGATGAGTAATTCGCATTCTGTTGCTCCTCTATCATAACTTGTAACCAGAATGGTACTACTACATTGACCGCTACGCTACTGAGATTCCTACCACTACCAAGAGATATTTTTAATGAGGTTACTGATCTTTGAGACAGCCTTTACAGCGAAAAAGTTGATCGCCCCCCCCTCTCTTCTATATTTCCCCTAATTGACTAAAACATGCAAGTTAGATCAAGATTTTAATCCTGACATAGGAAAGTATCTTCTGTCCCACAAAAACGTAAGGCTTCACCCTCTCTCTCTCTCTCACCAGTACAAGGATGCCTTAATGACGACTTCTTGCCCATGTTCTGACACAAATAGTCATCTCCAACCTGCAGCAAACTTCCCCTGCTGCCCACGGTAACGGGCGCTTCAAATATGTAAACGAACGAAGACGTTGCCGATGTATAAAGCATTTTTAATCGTAAAATGACAAGAGGTATTGACAGAGAGCGTTTTGTTGTCCTAGTCAGGAGAAAAAAGACATGCGAACAAAAACAAGTAAATCGTCGTCTTATCTGTAGCGATACACAATCTTGTCATGGTACAAAATGAAGGAGAAGGGAGTCCAGAAGAATTTGGAGAAGCAAAGATTAAGGAAGGGCAGGGCGGTTGAAAATAGAGACAAAAGAAAGCAAGCCAAAGAAAGACTAGATCAGATTATCGAAGATAGAGGAGACAATCGAAAGAAAAATTGCATGATCAGGTAAATAAAGAGCAGTGATTGTCACATAGCAGAGTGAGAGAGAGAATTATGCGTAGAATACAAATAGGACGATGTTTCAGGAAGACCTTCTCAGTTTATTTTCCCAGTTGTTTATCCAAGGCTGCTTTGATATTGGAGAAACGATCAGCGCCAGTGTAGTCAATTTCTCCACGCTCCCAGCTGCCTTGACGGTCTAGGGCAGGTACAGCCAACTCCGGCATATTCAAAATCGGTCCTCTACTGACTTCAAGGGTTGCTAAATGACCAACCAATCCACCCTAAAATAGAATTCCGTGTTAAATTCCAACCCATCTTCCTCCAAGTTAATGGAGACAACACACAGCTAAAACTGTCTATAACATGCTTAACAAAAGGAGAGAAGTTTTATAAAAAAACGTTTTAAAACAACGATAATTAAAAAAAATAGGTAATCTGATTATTCTATTTATATAAAAACTCTAGCAAAAGCATGCAAGCTAAAGGTGGTGATTAAAATGGCAGTTAAAGAGAACTACACAGCAAGTATACTTACCATGTCCTACAAGACGATGAAAAAGGGGACAAAATGATTATAAATGAAATAATAACCTAAAGAAATTTAAGCAGTGGAGGGGGGAGGGATAAATTAAGTCACAAAGCAACATTCTTAATGATTCAACAATATCTATTACGAAACAACAAAGACTAGAATTTTAAATTGGGGAGGAAGGGGACCCAAAACTCACCATTCGGATTCGAGCAGACTCCTATTTACCAAGAGAAATGCAATGTGAAATTATGGACTGCAGCACAGTAGTGTTTAGCCGACTTACTTTACATAATGAAAAAAAGCGCTCATTAAAGTGCATTTCGAACATTATTCACTACCTCATCTGATAGGCGACCAAATGATAAAAGAATGTGACCAAATCCTATAGACCACAAATCTAATTACTTAGTAGAATGCTTAAAACAATCTCAACGCAGGCCAGGATGTACTAGTTCGCCTTTTTGTTTAGATGTAAACCGACATCGGCAGCTCAGAGAGGTAAAGATTCAGGTAGGTTGGTATAAATAAACATTGAAAGCGAGCATAAGCGTTAATTGCAATAAAAATAGAAATAACTTCTGGCTTACCACATCAGGAATAAGTTTGGGTTTAACTTCGGTAATGAAAAGATGCCACCAGAAGTTGAGATATTGAAGAGATTGTGAGGAGATTTGGTCGCAAGGCATAATGCTACCAGTTTCCGTGTTGACATTCTGATGCCAGGGTTTAGCGGGACCAATGAAGTGGACAATGCGGATAAGATGTCCGAATCGTTTCATGGCGGGTGGATATGAGTAGAAAGCCTGAGCAATACAGTTATCTGTGAAAGGTAAATGGCGACGAATATCAGCCACAGCCCAGTCAGAGAAGAAGCAGTTAAGAAGACCCTAAAATAAAAAATTATGACATAATATTAATTTTGACTCAAAGTTAGAAATATGAGCAAACCGAACTAACTTGATCACCACCATCAAAGCTGCCCTCAGATAGAGCAAAATTGAGAAGGTTGCGATAAGTATCCAAGCTGGGAACAAACACGAATACTCCCGAATTGAAACAATCAGGCCAGCCAGGATCGGGAGCTGCACTGAGTTCTTCACGCTCAAACAGGTCATCAACATTTTTAATTACCTATTGAATGACAGAAAAGGCACATAAATTCTATTTTAAGAGCCCAAACCCGGGAAGTTAAGGTAAACCAAGAGTCAGCATACCAGCGTATCAGCATCCAAAAATACGCACTTTGAGTACTGCGTTAAACGCCAGCAATGGAGTTTAGTGAAAGTAACACCGAGATCAGGACGAGAGAGAAGTTGGAGACTTTCAGCATCATTACTGTTTAGAACATCCACAAGCACAACCTCGTCGAAAAAACAATCAAGAGTTTTCCTCATTTTGTCTGAAACGGTGTTTGTAATCATGCACACGAGTTTCTTTGATGTTTCAACCTTCTTAAGAGAGGCTGCCAGGGTAAGAACCCCACATGCGTACTCATCATTTGTTGCAAGAGTGACGAAGGCTTCAGTCACTGAAAGTTAATATGATTAATTACGAATTAATAATGAAACTGCGTGCATATAAAAGGACCTGCTTACTAGCGCAGCGAAAACCCAAACCAGGTATCTTCAGAGTGACCGGGAAAGCTACACCGACAATTTAGATTGATGTTTACTTGATTAAACTAATTTTTTTAAACGTATTAATCACAAACTCAATTTTTTGAGCAACTTTTAATTAAAAATAATTTATTTAATTATTAAATTTATACTAAAGTTTAAAATATAAATTTTAGGAACTCAGTAATGAGAAATTATTTTTTAATTACAACGGAAATGACTTCTTACATGAAATATGCAAGTTCTTAAGTTTTAAAATTATTGTCACCATAATTTTTATCATGTTTGGTCCCAAGTTATTTACCATTGCGTAAGAAATATGAACATTATTATGAGCTTTATATCAATTTACTATTCACCGACGTTGCACTGAATATATCAGCTTTTGCAGAAGTGCTTCCTTTAATAACTAAACATGGGTTTAGAATTCGTGATATTGTCTCCAAATATCCCATTTAAATTATTCTATCAGAATTATGCTCTTAATATACCCTAATTGTCATTTGAATTATACATATGTGGTTGATAATTGAGGACTAAATAACAGTGACATACATTCGCTCGTGTCTGATCCAATAAGTAAGCTATTTAAGCAACATAAAGATAGCCCATATTAAATAAAATGTCTCTGACTGATAAAATTTCTTGAATTAGTTGTATTATCCCTTAACCTTCTTTCCCAATTCTGAATCAACGTAAGTCTAGTGACTTCCACTGACCAAATGTATCAGAGGATTAGAATTTGGACTTCATAGTATCACAGCGGCTCATAAGAGTCTTGGTATAAAAGAAGTCCAATGTAGCCCCCTTGGTCCATTCAACTATATACCCTTTATGGTCATCAGTTATTAACAGCCCTTACCATTAGAAAGTTACCTAAGGAAATCCAGCAGGACAAAATTTTAGCGTAGTCTACCCACTTTGTTTCTTTGTTAGGTAACGCCTAATCTGTGTATAAATGCAGTAAAACACAGTTTTAGTTGCATGCATTACCTGGGCGCTTTAAGTCACAGATCAGGCACTTACTTATGTCCCTGTCAATGGAGTCATTTTCAAGCCAACGAACAAAGAACGCAAACTCAGTCAATCGCCCTATCAATCCTCGTTGCAGTTGTTACTTTTATCCAAAATTGTTAATCTTGAGTATTAACGCATTCCTCTTACCCACCAGTCCCTTCTTCATTCGCCTTCTACTTCCATTCCTAATTGTTCAAAATACATGAGGTCCAGTATATCACCCAATCTCCTCCCCCTTAGGAACGGACTTTTATCCAGTTAGTCACTGAAAGATTATTAGTTCAATTTAGGGAGTATCATGTCTTGGATGATTTTAAAAGCTAAATCTAGCCTCAATTGCTCAAGTGTGAAGGTCAATTTGTGTCGGAATAACCAAATCGCATGATATCGATTGAAGATTCAGTTTTGCAGGGTCATCATTAAATTTGCTTTTTGTCCATCCTATATCCTAAAAAGAAGTCATACAATTTTGAACCTCGGATATCTCGCGATCAGAGTAGGAGTAGTAGGCGTTACACTTTCAGCTGCCCTGATAGTCATTAACTGCTGTAGGAAGAGGTACGACAATTTTATGCCAGTTAGACAGTAAAATTTAATTAGGTGTTTACTGGTTATATTCGAGCATTTTAATGAGTTTATCCTTCGCAGCAGTCTTTCGTTATCATAGGCCGATCTAATTCAATTTCATAAAAAACCAAGTTGTACCACTTTTAAAAAATGATTGCTAGAGGTGTTGAAATAGACCCCTCTGAGACCTTTTTTCAGACGAAAGGTAACCTTGAAAGATAAGGGAAGTATGTAATGTACTTTACTTATTTTAAGATTCAAATTACATGCTTAAGGGACATGATATAAGTAAAAATTGATCTTGTGATTAGGCTTATTAATTTTTATAACCTATCAAAAGGTGTTCTGAGCCCTTATTAGTTTACTGAAGGTAGATAAAATTAACTAAACGTCAGACTACCTTCAAAAGAATAATCCCTTAACATCTCGGAAACTTGCCCTCTCTCTCCCTCCCTCTCGAGTAAATTGCTTTGACAATAAAGATTACTTCAAGGTATTCTTTTATGACTGAATGCGGAATGGCTGATTTTCAGATATCTCGAGCAACCTTCACCCCCCCCCCCCCTATGTCGCAGACACGCCACCCTTTATGTAAGGGCGCTACAAATGCCTACATCTCGTGGTCGCATTTGGATAAAGCACTCTTTTATTGTTGGCTATTAAGGGATTAAAAGTCAAATGCCCAGCACAGCCAAGCTATTAATCGACAAATTGGTGGAATCCAGCTTTCATCTCCACTTTGCCAAACGTGACCATTGGACAAAAAATTGCATTATCGTATTACATCTCATTTAAGAAAACAAGTATGTGTTTCAAATAGGGAAATTCGAAGACTTATGTTAATATTTGACTAGCTGAATGAAAAATAGCTTAATTATCCACTAGCACTACTTCAGTTTGTAGGAAAAGGTAAAAAGAATGTGACAAGTTGACACTCCACTGCGCAAGAGTGACTTGAAGTTGAAATATGTGGGACACGTCATCGCATGCCTGCACGCCAGGATTGGGAGGTGCAACTGTACAAACAGTGACCAATCATTAACCTTTGTTTGTTTAACCTAATCCGCCATCCTGATTCGTTAAGCTTCCTGCATACACACTTTATCCGCGATACTCGTACTGAATAAATGTGCTCCGTGCTACACGTCTGTTTCCTTTATAGCTGGGCCATAGCTTAGCTGGTTCTGGGAGTCTAGCTAGATGTTGGAGAATCTGCCATAGAGATTTCTGAGTCGGTCAGGCTTTACTAAGGTAGCAATCCGCTACAAATATTTGGTTTAAGCACTGCAATTAAGTTTTTATTTCTAGTTATTTAATGTCTATGTGTGTACTCAATAAATGTTCATTTTGTAATAGAATCGCAGTATTTTCCTTATTTATATTCCCGTTTCAATCCTTTCTGCTAAGATTTAACCCATAGAAGAGTACATTAGAATCGCATGCTAATTGATTAGATAAAATTTCGATACGAGAAAATTCGCCATTTTAAATGCATTTGAAGCAAATCTAACCGGTGCTTCTGTTAATTCACAAATTGAAAAAATTTGCAGATTTTATCATGAACTTCTAGGTATTTAGGTTTAAGTGGAATTTGTGAAGATTTCCACCGAGATAAATCATTTTAATTTTTAAATGAAATGTATCAGATTAACCTTTTTTGATGAAGTAAAAATGTGAGTGGTGAAAGTAGAAGGGGATATTATAAATATAATACAGAGTCTAATATTTTCAATGAGAAATTTCAAAAGGTCGACTTGTTTTGATACTATTAGTATTTGATTTCCGGGGTGTGCGATAGACTTACCTCCACGTGGTGCACCCTGGGCAACCTATATGCATACGGCAAAAAAGTCCATTAACCGGCAGTTGACTTCTGACTTCAAACTGCCACGACCCCACTATATGTCAGGTTCGACCCCTTCCACAGTAATCATCTTACATTTTTCTCTACCTTTGTGCCTGTCTGCCTCTTTTACATCTGTGAATCACTATTCTGTCCCCCATCTCAACCTTTTGTCACTTTGATGTTCCTCCTTCCCTCTGTGAAGCCCGAAGTCAGCTAAATGGCTAATGATAGCTATCAAAACGCCTGCCATTTGAAATAAATAAATACTTGATTTCAAGTAGACCGCCAGACGAGTAAGTCAACCAATAACTCGACTGCAGACAGTTTAATGAAGAACCAGTATTTATCATGAGGGAATAAAAAAATACCATCGTATTCTATAAAAGTCCTATTAATATATGGGGAACAAAAAATTGTTCAATACGAGAAGAACACACACTTAGAATTGAAGAAAATTTTTTGGTTCTTAGAGCCAAAATTTTATTTGCTTTTGGCCCATTGATTGTATCTGTTCTCCTTAAATCACTCATCTTTCCATTTATTTCTCTTAATTTCTGAAATGTAAATAAGAGAAGATCCTTCCTTTGGTTTTGGGCGATTGGGATCTCGATTGATGAGGATATTTTGTCTGACCATTGAGATGCCAATTATTGGATTGATAATAATAATAATGACAATTAATGATTACATAGAGAGACTTAAATAACTAATCGCAGTGCACCTCTCACCTCTGGTAAGAAGTTTCAAGAAAAGACACTATAATTAATCATTGGAACAAAGCCTACTGACTAGGGTTAACACGAAGTAGAAAGATGATTTGGCCTTTGAAGAGTGGTTAAAATTTTCAATTTTTCTCGAGATATCAACTCGTTTAAGACCATTTGAAACCCTGATGGCATTTTTAGCATTTTTCCTCTCCTTCACTTTATTGCTGATTGGTCTTTAAAGAGGACGCTTTTAATTGGCGCCGTAATTGAAAAAAATGGGGGCATTTTCAGACACAATATGAAACGATATTGCAAATTATTTCTTATTTAAATTCATCGAAAATTCTTCCTCTCAATTATTGAGATTAACACAGGTGACTTTTAGAACTCACTTTTTTTATTTCAGGAACGAATTTTTCAGAAAATAAGTTTGAGCCATTATTATAATCGCTATTAGTTTCGGAGATAATGTCTTTAGAACATTCGCTCACATTTAATTTGAGAAATTTTAAATCCTCTAAGAGTTTATCTAACATGCCACCATTCAAATCGGGACCATTCTTTACAAAATCAATAAAATGAACACTTAATTTAAATTATAACTTTTGCTTTAGTAGAGAAATGACCTTGTCTGGTGTGGATGAATCTTTAAATTATTTTGGCTCTCACTTCTTATACATATTATTAACATTCACATCTGAAAAAAAGAATGCAGACGACCAGAAGCAAGATGAGATAAAAGGATACCAAAAAAAGCATCCAATGTATCCAAGGCTCATTTTCACTTTATTTAAAACTAGCCTCAATTCGTTGCAGAGTTTCGTTTAATCGTTTAAAACAATTAAAACGCTTTTGAGTAATAGTTCAACGTTCTATGAAACAACCTATATTACGCAATACATAATGTGTAAACAAAAGTGACTTATCAATTATTGTGTGCAGAACAAACTTTATTTAATTTTTCATTCATTATGATAATGACTTCAGGTAACTTCAGTATGTTTAATGGTCCAATGGGGTTCACTTAAATCAGGGTCTACTCATTCTGGGAAAACCTTTATTAAACTATTAGTCCCAAGAAGGCAGTTTTAGGAAGAGGTATTTAGGCTAAATCCACCCAATCATACATTATTTGTTTTATTTTGATTAGAGCTCTCTTGAATTCACTCCTCACTCATTCAAGCCGAGTGGAGATAATTTTTATTAGCATTAGCTGGAATATTGGTCTTCGGTCTGTTCAGCCAGTTTTGAGCATGTCAACGAGGAGACAAGCATTTTCATTCTTGACTGCCCTCTAATAAGGGCAGCTAGCAACAAGCTTCCTCATTTTCTTCCTTAAGCACTTCGTAGAGGTTTTCTTTGTCACCATTTGACCCTTCGCGTAATCCGGGGGGGGGGGGAACGAGGAAATGCTCTGTTAGCTATTCAGCCTCTGACAGTTATCACGGCCACTTTAACTGCATGAGTAGTGGAAGCACCGTGTCAGTGATTTTGTGTAATTATAGTAAATATTTGCAGACCACAATTGTTTGCGTTGTCACTCACAAGATAACTTTAAGGCTCACGATATGAAGACGTATTTCTCTCCCTCCCTCCCTACTAATATTTATTTATTTATCTCAAATGGCGGGCTTAATGATACTTATCATTTGCGCTTTAGCTGACTTCGGGCTTCATAGAGGGAAGGAGGAATATCAAAGTGAGAAAAAGTGGAGAGGGGGGACAGAAAAGTGATTCAAAGATGTAAAAGAGACAGACAGACACAAAAGCAGAGAAAAAGTAGGATAAGTATGGTGGAAGTGATCGAATAAGACATGCAATGGGGTCATGGTAGTTTGAAGTCAGAAGTCGACTGCCGGTTAATAGACTTTTTGCCGTATGAGAATACGTTGCTCAGGGTGCACCACGTGGAGGTAAGTCTATCGCACACCCCTCCCTCCTAATATCGTTTGCTGCAATTTTGGTCCAAGCTTAATTCTCGGCATTTGGATTTGAAACCCGCAGTCATGAAAACATGTCCATGCCAAAATTTGCCCTTTTAAAGTGCAGCCCTGCGGGGGGGGGGAAGGCTATTCTCGTGTTCTTTAAAGTTGTTATTTAAGGTGCACTAGTCGATAGATAAACATTTGCAACAAAATATTTCTAATGTAAGCATATGTGCAACAATAAGTATTTAGAAATTAATGATTTCGGGGTAGTTAGTTTAGGAAAGAAGCATAAGGAGAGGCAAAATTTTAAATAATCATTTATTTTTAAAATTATAATTTTATAAAATGTAATTTTCATAATTTTTTTCAGCGAGACGTTGAATTTTTAAGTACATGGAATAATAGCCGCAATCTTTTGCATTTTCGGATTATTTCAGTCGACCACGACAACATAAATAAATAAATATATATATATATATATATACTTGAAACTGAAAGACAAGTGTACATCATCTATTTTTCGCCTTCGTATAAGATTTAAAGAATAAAAACAAAGGGCAATTGTTTCAAAATTAGTTTCATATTTTAATATTATGAAAATAAGTCCGTCTGAGCTTATAATGCCATTTCGACTCTCTTGAGACATCTTTTCAGCTTTGAAGACGAAACTACGCAGACTAAAGGCCATATTCCTTTTACTCCTGAGACCAACTCCTTGACCAAAAGCTCAAGTACTCCCTAAGTAACGGAATGAGTACGTTGATCTGTGAACTTACCAATGAACTTTGAAGTTCATATATGCAAAATTAGATTAATTCCACCTATGGGAGATTTAACCCTGCAAATGATTAACCAACTGAAGCATTGTTTAACTGAATATTATGTATTTATTGAGCGATGTAATTGCCTCGGGCATGTGGATGCAGGACTTTGATGTCGTGAAGTTGAAATTGTGATGGAAATTCGCTCTATACAGTCAGGCAACTTTCCATTTTCATTGGTATATAAATCGATAAAAATTGATTGATAATTTTCTGCCAAATGTGAGTATTTGTTAAGATCACTTATTCGATTGCCTTGAAATGTTACCGATGTTGATAGGAGTACGCGCATTAAATAATCTCGATAAATATTTATTTATTTATATCAATTGTCAGGCGTTTTGAAAGTTATCATTAGCCTTGGAGCTGACTTCGGGGCTTCACAGAGAGGAGAAGGAACATCCAAGTGACAAAGAGCCGAGATGGGAGACAGAATAATGATTCACAGAGGTAAAAGAGACAGACAGACAGACACAAAAGATAAAAGGTAAGATGAGTACTGCGAAAGGGGTCGAATATGACAAATAGTCGGGCAATAGAAGTTTGAAGTCAGAAGTCAACTGCCGATCAATAGACCTTTTAGCCGTATGAGTTTACGTTGCCCAGGGTGCACCACGTGGAGGTAAGTCTATTGATAATACTACTCTTCAATTATCACAAATTTTTAATAATTCTTTGACGACTCTCCATGGTCAATAAGCTTGTAGCGGAAAATATGTGCTATTTTACATTATTATGGTATTATACTCCCAAAATTGCGTCCAATGGGCCACAAGTGCACCTACGGCAAAAAAAGTCTTTTAATCGTCAGTTGACTTCTGACTTCAAACTACCATGACCTCACTGTATGTCATAGTTAACCACTTCTACAATATTCATCTTACCCTACTCTCTATCATTGTGTCTCTCTCTTTTACATCTGCAAATCACTCTTCAGTCCACCCTCTTGAACTTTGATGTTCCTCCCTTCGGTGAAGTCAGCTAAGGGCTAATGATAACTATCAAAATGCCTGCCATTCGAAATAAATAATATTCGCTTTCTTTGAAATATTTTTGCAAATCAGATCAATTAAAAAAGGCAAAAATCCTTTCCTTTTTATTGGAAAAATGTTTAATGGAGCGACTATATCATGATTATTTTTGGTCAAATGACAGATGTATCGCGAAGTAGGCAGCGCGTCAACTTCATGACTGCCAAAGTGAATCTGGGGGGATTAGCAATCAAATGGGTCTTATACCTAACTGCGGTTGACAACTTTAAACAAGCCGTTATTTGACAATCACGTCAGAGGGGGGGGGGGAGACCATAGCCAATACAAACTGATTAAACGAAGTGATGTGAAGTGAGATCAATTAGAGATGACTTCCTATTGTGGCTGTGGAAATCAAAACCGGTTAAAACCTTGAATAAATTTGCTAACGAGAGTGGAAATAACAGCGAAGAAGGATAAGATCAGACGATATCAAAATGAATACTTATCTTGCATAGAAGTGAATTTAGGCATAAATTATCAATTAACCACAACTTGGAATTGCATTGATGGTTTAATGCCTTAGAAATATCATAGGTTTATCGATTTTGCTAAACACTTGAATTAAGGCATCATTGAATCAATCCAGTATCTAAGATTTTGAGAGTACATATTTTTTGGCGTTAATTTAATCTCAAAGTGAATTTGAACACTAAAATGAAAATAATTTCTAAAATCCTTCATTTGTATTAGATAAAAATTCCGCTAGATTGAATCTCGTACAATTGGGAATTTTTTCTGTGCCTCTTATTATATTTTATTAACTGGGGTGTGCGATAGATTTACCTCCACGTGGTGCACCCTGGGCAACGTATACTCATACGGCAAAAAAGTCTGTTAACCGGCAGCTGACTTCTGACTTCAAACTACCATTACCCCATTGTATGTCATATTACACAGTTTCTACAGTACTCATCTCACCTTTTCTCTGCCTTTGTGTCTGTCTGTCTGTCTCCTCTACATCTGTGAATCGCTCTTCTATTCCCCCTCCCGAATTGTTCTCACTTTGATTTTCCTCCCTCTGCGAAGCCCAAAGTCAGCTAAATGGCTAATGATAAATATTCAAAACGCCTGCCATTTGAAATTATAATAATAATAAGTTTCGCTATTTCGTGTCATTTCTTCATTCAAATACTGTTAAGCACCTTGTTCTTACAATTTTACGCGGTTTACGCAATATTAACTCAGTAGAGCACATAGATCCGATGTATTATAATAATAATTCCCAGGTTTTCTTGAGAAAATCTACCTCTAACCTCACTTCCTCTTTTTTAAATATATTCTTGGCTTAATTTGATTAGCTGGAGAGGCAAATTTGTGAAAACAGTTGCACAATATTGTAGTGTGGGGTGTACCAAAGGAACCTCGTGTGCACCTCGACATTCCGGATAGTGCCCACGTGCCCATACATATCGCGTATGGAGCAACCAAGGCTGTGTGTTAAGACGCCTCCCAACAAATCAACAATCAATATCCCTACAACATATTATTGTTTGAATTCAAGAGGGGTGTGCGATAACTTACCTTCACGTGGGGCACCCTGGGCAACGTAAATTCATACGGCAAAAACAGTCTATTAACCGGCAGTTGGCTTCTCACTTCAAATTACCATCACCCCATTCTAGGTCATATTCCACTACTTCCACCGTAATCACCTCACCTAACTTTTTTTCAACCTTTGTGTCAGTCTCTTCTACATCTTTGAAACACTCTTCTGTCCCCTCCCCATCTCGACTTTTTTCTCTTTGATGTTCCATCCCCTCTGTGAAGCCTAAAGTCAACTAAAGGGCTAGTGATAACTATCAAAACGCCTGCCATTTGTTATGAATAAATGCTTGAATTTAAGATCTGAAACATTTTTGTAAAAATACTATATAGACATGAAATCTTTTGTGCTTTCTCACCTTTGGACGTAGCTAAGAAAATTTCGAAAGCTCAATTTTTACTGGAAGACTCCGCTGGAGGCTACTTTTTGATTGTCTCCTACAACAAAATTGACTTCTAAGAGGAGTATTAAAGCTCATCTTAGAGCCTATTTTTTGCATTGTTTACTATAACTACTACATCAAGAAGGCTGCAGTATAAATGAAAATAGTTAACTTCATTCATTAAATTTATTTAGTTTATTTCTAAATCTGAACAAAACATGTTGCCAAAGAAGATCTGTCTATAAGGCCTCAATTATTGTTTTTTCAAATGAATGAAATGCCATGAATAAATAATAACAAATTCATGACCCTTGTAGGCTGGCAGTTTTAATTATACTAGTGTTATATGAAATATTTTAAAAATAGCTCCATATTGTTATTCCAGCTACTACACGAAGTCCAGGAGTTATAAGCTGTGTACTTTTTCGGTATCTTTTTCACCATCTTTCAGCTGAATATGCGAGTTATTTCTCTTATATTCGGTTGTCATAAATCATACAAAAGGTCAAAATTATCCAGCCCCTACGTAGTGGCGATGTGGTAAGGTGAATAGATTCAATTGAGAAAAACGCGAATACTTGACTGTTTTGTGAAGGCCAAGAGCTATTTTGGGTTAAAATTTAGGCTTGTAAGACGTAGAAATTGGAGACTATTTTTAGAATAGAGGCCTAGATGCATAAAAGTCCTTCAAGCAGACTTTATTTTATCGTTGAAATACCATTGCTTCAGCTCGCTTTTAGTGGCTTAATCATGTGCTTAAAGGTAGAAATGAAGCGTTGTTAAATGGAAAAGGACATTTATATTTTTATGAAGTCAATTTAAATCAATAAAGATGAAAGCTATCAAATTGAAATATTAATAAATGAATTAAGGTTTACAGTTGGTTAAGTAAAACCTCCACAGAATTTATATATAGGATAAGTTGTAAATTAAGAAGACATCTGGAGCTAGGAATAAGACAAAGTAGAAACAATTTGTTTCGAATAAGCAAAGTTTATAACATGATGAAATCTGTTTATTCGTTAACCTAGTTTCGTAAATAATGGCATAATATATATATATATATATTTATATTAATGTAACTAAAGCGCAATAACTTAAATAAAGTCTCAATTTAGCGTAGAAACTACCAAATATAACGCCTTTTTAGGATTAGGTTAATTTTATTTATTGAGGGATGCAAAAATTGAAACCGTTGATGCTCTGATTTCCGTGAAGCAATATCGCCGAATTTCTACCAAATTTTTCTTTCCATAATTACACCTTGTAATAATGTTAAGCACTGGGGCACAGAATAACAACCTCAGCCGTTTTAATATGCAATTCACTATGCGTTGAAATTCTCAGCAAAATATACCAAATGTCTTTGTGGTGTTTTGCAAGGCTCAGAGATCCCTTAATGTGCTAGAAAATAAAGTACAAGGTACTCACGATGTTGTAGAAGAACCTAAAATGGAGATTGAATTTATCTTGTCATTTCGCTTTCTAAAAATAAAGCTCTCTTGCTGCGGTCTTGCAATGTAATTTGCAACAATTTCCATTCTTGTTTTTTTTAAATCAAATAGATTCTACCCGCTTGAAGTTATTGACCATTTATCGGGATGATAAATAATTGCCATTTTATTTAAAGTGTTCATTAGT